GAGCGTGCGGCATATTGCTTCGCAACCTTGGGTGATGACCCTCGCACCCATACCGAGGCTTTGGCTTCTCTGGATGCGCCACTATGGAAACAAGCGATGGAGACGGAACTAGCCTCGATCAAAGAGAACGACGTGTTTAAGCTCGTCGACCCGTCGAAGGGTGCCTACTTGGTGGGGTGCAAATGGGTGCTTAAGAAGAAGTTGGGAGCCGATGGGAGTGTCGAACGCTACAAGGCGAGGCTTGTAGCTCAAGGCTACACTCAACGGGAGGGGGAGCACTATAGCGAGACCTTCGCTCCCGTCGCTAAGGCTACAACTCTTCGGGTGTTGCTCGCGCTAGCGGCATCTCTCGACCTCGAGGTGGAGCAATTGGACGTTTGCACCGCCTTCCTCTACAGGCTTCTCATGGAAGAGGTCTACATGCGGCAACCCCTGGGGTACGATGACGGTAGCGGAAGGGTGTGGAAGCTCAAGCGTACCCTCTACGGCTTGAAGCAAAGTCCACGCGGATGGTACAAGCGCATCGACGACTTTCTTCTTCAACACGGCTTCGCGCGTAGCGAGTGCGATAGCGCTTTATACGTGTTGAAGGAGGGGGAGAAGCAATTGGTGCTTTTGCTCTACGTCGATGACCTACTCCTCTTCTTCGACTCCAAAGACCTCATTCGGGAGGTCAAGCAACGGCTAGGGGCGGAGTTTGCGATGAGGGACTTGGGGCCGGTCACGTACTACCTTGGGATGCACGTCGATCGTGACCGAGCCAACGGGACCGTCCACCTCCACCAAGAGAAGTATGTGAAGGGGGTAGTGGAGAGCTTCGGCATGGGCGATAGCAAACCGGTGGGAACACCACTAGCTACGGGATTTTCTTGCTTCACGGGAGAGGAAGAATCCACCCTCGACGAAGCCGAAGTGAAGCGGTTTCATTCGCTAGTGGGCTCGCTCATGTATGCCGCCGTTTCTACTCGCCCCGACCTCGCATACGCCGCCGGGGTGCTTGGACGAGTCGTGAGCAACCCTCATACCGAGCATATGCGCGCGGGAGGATGCATTCTACCTACCTCCAAGGCACACCTAACTTGGGGCTCGTGTATGAAGCCGGCCCAATTGAGCTCAAGGGCTATGCCGACTCAGACTACGCGGGAGATCCGAGCACGCGCAAAAGTACCTCCGGGTATGTCTTCACCTTGCTTGGGGCAGCCGTGAGTTGGCAAAGCAAGAAGCAACCAACCGTGGCTCTAAGCTCAACGGAAGCGGAGTATATGGCACTCACTCAAGGTGCCATGGAGGCAATATGGTTACGGCGTCTTCTAGCAGAGCTTGGGCATCCTCAACCCAACCCAACTCCTCTCTTTTGTGACAACCAAGCCGCCATAAGCCTCTCTCACAATGTCGTCATTCACGGGCGAACCAAGCATATCGAAGTCATCACTTCATTCGTGAGGCGGTTGAGAAGGGTGAGGTCAAACTCACTTATGTGAGCACCAAAGCTCAACCCGCGGACTTCCTCACTAAACCACTCCCTAAGGATTCATTCTGTGCATGCTGTGAGCGTGTTGGATTGAGCACCTAGTGGCTTGGGTGCAAGGGGGAGTGTTGGAGGTTGAGTGAGGCAAGGTTTTGCCCCCAACCACCGAATGGTGCTTCTCAAGTGTTCCAAGAAGTTTGGCTTCACTGCAGGTTTCGAGAAGGTGCAGGTTGACTTCGAGAGACTTGCATTTCGGTGCCACATGGCAGCACAAGAAGAATCGAGACTAAGGGAGAATTTGATTTGGTGAAATTCGAGACTCGAATTTCACCCCTTCGAAATGTTACTCGAACATTCGAGTGTACCGCGGTTCGAGGTTACACGTGCGGTTCGATGCTGATTGCATGCTATAAAACTAGTAGCTTTGTATGCATGTTTCATAATCAAAATCAGAGTTTCCTATACGCGGTTCAACTCGACACAAAATCCAGAGAGCTCCTATCCTACGTTCTAAGAGCACCACCTAGCACGTGAACGCCTATATCTCGGCGGATACTTAGGCGATCGACGTGTTCTACGGCTCGTTGGAAAGCCAACAGAGTGCTCCATCGTTTAATACAAATCCCAGTTCTTGCAAAGTAGAGGAGAGTCCTCTACAGCATATGTGCGACAAAAGATGGACCAGGGTTAAGAAGATCTCACCCCGCCATAAGTCGCAGACTCCATGCGTTCAGCTTTAGCTGTGTCCGCCTTAGTGACGGGCCGGCTCTTCTCCTCCGCGCTCAGTTGCTCCCCCGGCACCACGGCCCCCATGCGGATCGCCGCTCCCGCTCCAGCCGCCGGACCGCCGCCAAACGCGCCGGGAGCGGCGGAGGGAACGCCATGTGTCTCATGCGCGGCAGTCCCGACGGCCGGCGCGGGGGGCTGCTCGGCGGCGGGCTTGCGGGTTCGCCTCTGCTGCTGCGCCATGAATACTTGTCGATTCTGGAGCCGCGAAAACCGATCGGAGATATTCCCAACGAGTCGTCGTACAGCCGCTCTGTTTTGAAGTGGATGCGTCGAAGTCGGAGAGAAACTACTCATTTGAGTCAAAGAGTGAGAATTCGCGCGAGGAGCTCGGGATGACAAGGCAGCTGCTAACATCGGCTCTTATGCTGCACCGGCATACTCCTACATCGTCGCCTCGCCGACGCGCGTTCGAGCCGCGTTACCGCCGCAATTGGAGATGTTGGGACTGGAACCACCATGCGGGGTGCGTGGTAGAAGAATGAGGAATGGATTCGGACAGATGGCGTCGCGATGGTCATGCCGGCTCGGCTCGGCTCGGCGAGGGTGACAAAGCCAGAGCAAATGCAGCAAGACTTGTTCTCAGGCTTTACAGAACATGTGTCGCTGGGATGGGGCAGGAAGTCTCTCGCGTGCATGCGGTCTCAGAAGCATGTGCCAGTAGGAGGAAGGACCTCAGCTCAGCTCAACCTCCAAGCTTCTGTCCACTAATGAGCTGCCCGTGTGGGCATGAAACCAAGATTGCGTGGCGAGGCCAGGCAGGGGATGGAAGTGAGAGAAACCGAGAAATGGATTCCGGTTTGAAGGGGGGTTTGTTCGGTTCGATGTATTCATGCGCGGTGATGCACCAACCTCTGGTATGATAGGGGAGGTTCGTTTCAGCAAAAACCCCACCCAAACGTACCGAAGTGTGAACGAACCGCTCAAACACGCACAGAATCGTATCCATCCCCAATAGAATGAACTCATATGTCAAACGCTCCCACGCTCGAACTCAGCTCCCAAACTGCTCGACTTTCTCTTTCACCCCGTGCGTGACACCCTGAACCTCCAACTCACAGCACAGCACCTCGCTCACAGCACAGTCTCGTACCATTCTCGCTTCGCCAACTTTCACAGGCATCAGACGTGCGGCTCCTTCGGCGCGCACTGAGCGCCCTTCTGCCGCGCATCTCGTCAAGCGTGGAGTCTCAAATGAATTTGTTCAACGAGGGCTCTTCTCCTTGGCCGCGCTGCCTCGATCCCGATCCTTTCGCACGTCTGTCGGATGATCTCGTGGCGCACATTCTTGCGCTTGTCGCTTCTAACGGTTTCCGCTTCCACCCCAAGCCGCGCCTCACAACCGCCACTGCTACTTCTGGCACCACCACTGCCACTGCCTCACTGTCGCCGTTTCTACCACTGCGAAAGCTAATGCTGGTGGAGACGGGAGCAACCGTGCTTCTGCGGAGCGTGCCGATGGGATGGCTGGAAACGTGGGGATTGCTGTTAACGGGTCGGCCAACAGCGAGGACAAGGATGCGCATGGCGACGCGAGCGAGGACGAGCTGCACGAGCGCATCGCGCGGGCAGTGAAGAAATCGTGCGCGCGTTTCATACGCGTTATCCAGCTCACCACCGCCATAGCCCTCGAGGCTGAGGCGACCGCCGCCAACTACGCTCGAACCATGACACTCCACATCGACCCAGACGATCCCGACACGCCGTCATCTGCGCATATCCTCGCCTCCGCCTATCCGCACCTCCGCGGACTCCGCGTCCCTCACCTCGCTGAAAATCGACGGCTGCGTGGCTCTCCGGCAGCTGCCCGACGGCCTCGGGCAGCTAAAATAACTGCAGCGCCTGGAGCTGGCGAAGTTAGATTCTTTGCAATCCCTGCCTGACTCCATCGGCCTCTTATCAACCCTCCATCTGCGCGACATCAATGCCGCCTCTCTCCCTGACTCCTCCGCCCACCTCTCCTCTCTCAAACGCCTCCATCTCTCCCACCTCTCGCACATGCCCTCGCTCCCTGCCTGCGTTGGAAAGCTGCCATCGCTGCAAGAAATGGAAACCAAGTTTTGCGCTCGCTTGACTGCTCTCCCGCCCTCGCTCGCTGCCCTCTCCTCCCTCACTGCTCTCACCATTCAGCACTGCGAGTCTTTTGCCTCCTTACCGGAGGATATCGGTGACGTTCCCCGCCTCGCATCCCTAGTCCTCGACAACCTCCCCTCCCTTGCCGCAATTCCGGACTCTCTCGCTCTCCTCTCCTCCCTAACGCACCTTCACGCAGCGCATTGTCAGGATCTAGTGTCGCTGCCAGCGTCTTTCGCGGGACTGTGCTCGCTCTCTCGCCTGCAGCTTCTCGAATGCTCCTTGGAGTTGCTGCCCGAAGATTTCGGGCAGCTGCCCGCGCTGACGGAGCTGCATCTGAGCCAAATTGCGTGCGACCTGCCCGATTCGTTTGGGCAACAGTTGCTGAAGCTGAGGCGTCTCACTATTACTGCTTATATCGGTTACGTATTTCTGCCAATCACTCTGTCCCAGCTTGAGAGCCTCACTATCCAAAGCTGCGAGAATATGGATAACCTGCCCGAAACTATCGGGCAGCTGACAGCCCTTCGCACAGTAGAAATAGCTGGATGCGAACTGCTGGAAACCCTTCCTTGAGTGCTTTTCGCAACTGCCCCGCCTTGAAAGCCTTACTCTCGGATGGAAGCGTTTGGTAACTATCCAGGATGATCGGAAGCTAGGTCGTCAAACGTACATGTTTCACCCTGTACGTTCAGACAACAACAACAATAACGAGGAGGATCAGGAGGACGAAGACGCACCGGACACAGTATTCACTCGCCTGCCGAGCACGTTCGGGCAGCTCGCGAACTCCTTAACTGCTTTGGAGATCCACGGGTGCCATGAGCTTAAGCAGCTGCCAGCATCGTTCACCCAGCTGACTCGCCTGCAGCGGCTGTGCATCTCCAACTGCCATAAGCTGAGACGCATGCCGGCAGGGTGGGGCAACCTTGTGGGATTGCAGGAGTTAGAGCTCTCGCGCTGCAAGCTGCTGCAGGCGCTGCCACCACTTACCCCTCTTCCTCCTCCTGTTGCTGCTGTTTCTTCTGCTACTGCTGCGTCTGCTCCTGAGGCTGTTGCCGCTGCTGCTGTTTCTGCTGCTGCTGCCGCTTCCCACGTTCCTTCCATTGAGCCTACTCCATGTTCCGGTGACACAGACCCCTCTCGGCCTTCACCCCAGCCCTCCTCTCCCCACCCCCTCCCATCCCTCCGCCGCCTCCTCATCCTCAAATTCCCCCCTCTCTCCTCCCTCCCTTCCGGTCTCCACCTCCCCTCCCTACTCCACCTAGACATCCGTGACTGTGTCAAATTCACCAGCCTCCCTCCCTCTCCCTCGCCCTCGCCCTTCCCACCCACCCTGCAAGTCCTAATCCTGTCCCACACGCTAAGGGACACCGGAGACATGCAGCAGGCCATCTCTCACCTCTCCTCCCTCCAGCACGTGCGTATCGAACACATCCCAACTCTCAAAACCGTTCCCGTTCTATCCTCCCTGGAAACCCTTTCTCTCTATGACTTGCCCCTTATCTCCCCCCTCTCAATACCCAACATCCACACACTACAGAAACTCAGAATTCTAACCCTCCACACCCTCCCCTCACTCTCCCCCCTCCCTCACTCAATCACAGCCCTCTCTCACCTCCAGCGCCTGCATCTCAGCTGCATGGAATTTTTCAACCTGCCCGAGGACCTCGGGCAGATGCAAGGGCTGCGTGTACCAACCATAGACACCGCGCCGAAGCTATCAACGCTCCCCGCCTCCCTCACCCTCCTCACCTCCCTGCAGCACCTCATGGTCTCTGACTGTGACACATTCTCCTCTCTACCAGAAGCAGGATTCGGCAATCTTGCCTCTCTCAATTCTCTCACGCTCAACAACCTGCCGCTGCTGCTCAAGCTGCCTGCGGCTGTCTCACACCTGGCTTCGCTACAGGTGCTGGAAGTGCAGGAGTGCAAAACATTCAGCGAACCGCCCGAAGGGTTGGGGAGTGCGAGGAGTTTGCGCGATGTGTATCTGGAGGGGTACAGCCAGTTGGAGGATTTGCCGGAGGCGCTGCTAAAGCAGCCAGGGCGGATTCAGGTGAATGTGAGAGAGTCATGATTGCCATGCCAGCTTGGAATGCGTACGGTACATTTATTTCTAGTGGGCTGGTGTGTCTATCAATAGTTTCTTTATTCCCAGGAGCGTAATTGCTTTATGGTACCTGGGAATAGCCACCTCATCAGTTGCTCCATTCCATGCCCTTCGAAGGTACTGATATCTAGATCATTTTGGTGACTAGACAGTTCCTGCTAAAAGGTACGGTAAAGCCCTAGACACAGTTCCTGCTAAGGGATGGTGGTTGGGATCGAAGCACCATTTCCAATTTTACAAAACACCATCGAACTGATGGTACTGCTACTGGTAATTCCATCCATAATTCCATTCATGCTCTGCAAACCAGGCTGAATCCGTAGCTGGTGTCTCCCTGTCAGCAGCTAAGGCAGTAAGGTCCAGTCCAGACTCTGTCTCAGGCACCCTTGCTATGCGTCTCCCCAGCAGTGGCACCAGGGGCGCCTGCAGAGCCCGACTCCAGGGATCCCGTGCGAGCAGAGGCCTTCTCCCCTTTCATGGGCGGCACCACCCCCGCCTGCACGTTCTTGTCCGCAGCTGACTGCAGCGTGGCTGCTGTTCCGCCCTTCACGGGCTGCGGAAAGGGGTGAAGGTGGCAAGGGAATGTGGAAATTGAATGGAGAGTAGCACGCAAGCACTCTGAAACGGCAGAGCGGGTGAGGCACCGTAAAAAGGCTCCCAAGACGGGACAAGACAAAACGAACACAATAATTGTGGTTGGCACAGCATGGAGAGATAGAAAGGCTCCCAAGACGGGACGAGACAAAAAGAAAACTCGCCGCGCCATGAGCTGCAGTCTCCTCGCGTTGCGCTTCAGCGGCGTCCGCCTTAGTGACGGGGCGGCTCTTCTCCTCCGCGCTCAGCTGCTCCTCCGGCACCACGTCCCCCATGCGGATCGGCGCGCCCATGCCCGCCGTCGGCCCGCCCTCCATGCCTTGAATCGGCCCCACTGGCGTTTCTTCCGCGCCCGCGCTTCCGCCCCGCGCGCCTCCGCCACCGAGCCGCACTTGCTCGCCAGTCGACCCGGCGCCTGCGGCGCCGCGCTCGTGCGCGCCGGGGTCCGCGCCGGTGGTGACGGAGGTGATGCCACGTGTCTGCTCCGCGGCGCTAGTCTCGTCGGATTTGGATATCGGGCCGCCCGTCTGCTCCTCGGTGGGCTCGCGGGTTTGCCGCCGTGGCTGACGCTGCGCCATGTGATGCAGATTTAAAGGAACAGCGACGAAGGAACAGCAGTCTTGATTCGTACCTTAGGTTGCCACAGAGTGGAGAAACGGGACTCGCTGAAAGCAACACCGACGATTGAAGATGGAGATAAGAGAGGAAAATCAGATGCGCAAATCACGACGATTTTCCTTGGTGGCGAGGCGACGTTATTCATACTAACCCGACCGCCGAGTCAATCAGTTTGGACGGAGCGGACCCAGCGACTCGAGATGTTGTGATGGGACGAAAGGGAGCATAATAAATTTGACGACATCGCGTCTTTCCTGCAGTGATGCGAGCGTGCTAGCGTGCATGGGCGGAGGCCACGCAACACGTGGTGGCCACTTCATACGAGCGGCAGCCATGCCGGCTCGGGTAAGCCGTGAAAGACGGAGGCCGACTTGGCTGTGCATGTGGGTTGGTTGCATATGGGGTCTGAATCTGAATAAGGGCGTGTCTCCATTTTTCCCTCGAGGGTTCGAACCGTGGACAGTCCGATCTGCGAAATGGTGACCTGTTTCGCCCGATTTCGAGAAGGACTTCGTGAAAGTACTTGCGACGTCGTCAACGGCTCGAACCGTCGCGTCACTTTTCCCGCTCCACAACGGCTCACATTTCGAACCGTCCGCCGCTCAAAAAGCAAACGGACGCTACAGCAGTTCTGACGCAGGATTGGCGGGCGAAAACCAAATGTTTTAAATTGTCGCAGGGCTGATTTGCGCTTTTGGCGAGTAGGCGTGACTTCGGTTACGGGGATATAGTGTGATTGACGAAGCAACAGTACTTCGTCTTTTTGTGAAGGTGAAAAAAGTGACGCATTTGGATTCGGACGGTCTGTAGTTTCGAATTTTCAAAGTGGACTGTCCGTTACGCGCTATTAGGACCGTCCGAAACAAAATGTGTGGACCGTCCGAGAAATCGTAAAAAGCAAAATGGAGACACGCCCTAAGAAGACGAGACGAGACCTGGCCTGTTCTGTAGTTTCGTGTTGGCAGGTTGGTTGGATGTGATGAGGGTACACTAGGAACATTGTTGTGCAGTTAGGGGTGGCTACTTGTGAAACGATTTCTGAATAGCATATTAACGCGTATGCAACAAAAACATCCCGTCACCAGCTTCAGCGTTTACTGCAGAATCTGAAGTCCTCCCATCACTGCATCGCATCGCACACCTCCTAACCTGCATGGCTCTCATCTCTGCTTGCCCTTCTTGTGCTGCCACGTACGATAGATAACTCCCGCTCCCGCCGCTCCACTGTCGTTGAAACCGCTCCCTTGTCGGGTCGGGGAACCATAATCTCCGGCACACTCTCTCTGCAATGGACGGTGGGTCTAGTGCGTCCTCATGGTCTCCTTTCCTATATGTTGCAATTGCAAGCTTTGTTATTGAACCCGATTTCACTCGAGCCTCGTCTTACAGCCAGGTTCCACTCAGAACCCTTCAATCTCCCGCACACAGCCACCAATTAGTCACCCCCTCCTACTCCACAAAGCTCCCCGCGCGAGTCTCTCCCGCTGTTCCGCCTCTCGCGTCGCCATGTCGCAGGAGCATGAAAAACTCCAAGAGCGAAAGGCAGAAGTCGCGGAGCGCGGCGGCTTGGAAGCCCTGGAGAAGGACATGGCGCCGCTGGGAAGAGCCGCGGACAAGCCCGTCACCATGGGTGACGTCATGCCCCAGGCCACCCTGAGGGACGAAGACGTGGGTCGGCCTGTGACTAAGGAAGACGCGGCTAAGCAGCAGAGCGCGGAGGAGAAAATGAACGTTGAGGTAATACTAGTAGGTCAAGACTATTGGTGTGTACTTTATTGTATACAGTAAAGTTAAGACTCGCATGCTCTCACTTCGGCCCTGTTCACCCTCGTCTTTCTCTCTCCCTCTTCCTCCCTCTCCAACCACCTCCCTCCCCATCTCTCTCCTCCCTCTTTCGCTCTCTCTCCCTCACGCTGTCTTTCTCCCACTCTCCCTGCATGCGCAGATACACTCTGGAGGGCCTGCGGCCACTCTGCAGTCTGCAGCGGATAGAAACGTGCAGGCAGGGTTCGTGGGAGCGGGGCAGGGCAAGGAGGACTTGATGGGGACCAAGTGAGCCTGCGCATGTGGGGGGAATGGATGCATAAGCATTCTCTGAGAAGTGATTCGATACTAGAGGCAGTGCTGACATTGTACCGGTAGCAAGTGCCATGTCTGTACATAAGATACTGATTGTCTGTAAAAAGCTCGCATTTTTCAGCGTGTTGCACTCTTTTGGAGCAAGCACTTTACCGATGTGCCTATTGCCTGATCTCCAAAGATATATTTCAAAGGGACAATCAAGAAACAAGTATATTCACACCCTACATATTCTCTATCCCATCATTTGTTTCCTCCTGAACCTAACTCAAAGTCCTCGTGCTGCGCGCACAGCACGATCAAGCCCTCGCGGCAACAACACCCCAAAGCAGCTGGGCAAATGCGAGCCACACACACCAGCCGGCAATGCATCCGACAGATATTTCCACCCGCACCATGAAGCTCTTGACCAGCAGCAGCGGCGGAGCACTGTGCACAGCAACCATTCCCATGCAGCCCGCCCCCGCCACCATGCAACCAGCCTTATCCCCACTGCAGCAGCGATCAGCAGCAGCAGGAGCAGCTCCAAGAACCCCATTGCCACCACCCGCATCTCCCCCTCCCCTTCCTCCCCCTCCTCCCTCTCCTCCCGCACCTCCTCACACGCTGAAACAACAGAGACGTTCTCATCATCACCTTGGCTCTCATGTAACGGATCATCTGGGACTCCTGGTACATCATCTGACCCCTCAGCAGCGGTGCTGGCGGTGCTGGCAGTGTTGGCGGTGGTGGTAGTGCTGCTGCTGCTGCTGCTGCTGCTGCTGCTGCTGCTGCTGCTGCTGCTGCTGCTGCTGCTGCTGCTGCTGCTGCTGCTGCTGTTGCTTCCCTTGTTAGCAGCAACACAGCGAGGGCCAGTTTCAGCACGGACAGTTCTTCCTGGGGGAGAACGGCCCAAAGGAACAACTATGATCTTTCTCTCCCCCAAGTCGCCTCCGCCAGACGCGCCTTCCCCAGGTGCAGCGCCTGAGGCATCCGTGGAGCATCCGCGCGCCTCCCGCGGAGCAGGCTGCGCCGCGCCTGGTACCGCGCGCCCTGTGCTGCTCATGCGTGCCAGGAGGGTCCGCGCGAGGCAGTGGAAGAAGTGAAGCTCGCTTCAAATCGAACGGAGAGCGTTACCTGAGAGTTCCACGGTAAGCCTTAGGGATTGGCAGAAGGGCAGCGATATCGGAACCTGGCAGTCTGCTTTGTTGCTGACGGCAACGAATCCCAGAAGGCAGCAGCAGTCGTCGAAATGGCACGAAGGTAACATCTTCGCTGTTGAACCTGCTCGCACGAAAGCTGCGCAGGGAGCAGAAGCTAAATTCCTGTTCACTATCGTCGACCACGGAGCCCCCGCAACCAAGAACGCGTACGTACGCCGAGTTGCTATACTGGTTTGCGGTACGGAACAATTCTGGCATGGATTCACGCAGAGCACCTCATCCATGCATGCCCCTTTCCCGAACGGGCCGCGCTGCCGAGGGCAGATGCGGCAGGCGCGCTGTCGCCATTTAGAGGCCGAGGCGTGGGACCACAAATACACGTGGCTGGGGCCTGCAGAGCTGGTTTGGAACGTTGTTAGCAGCTGCGATATTGTTCGTTGTCACAATATAGGTGCCGCCTTGAAGAATGAAAAGAATCGCTGGCATATAAATTGAACTTAGGGTTTTGATCGCTGACTGTGGTAACAGTCAGTCGCCCAATTCGATCAAGCTTGACGTAGCAGTTGGCAGGGCTGGTTTGTACTCGATACAGTTCTTGCAAAATCTGACGATTCGTCAAAATTGATCGCAACCCAAAAACCGCAACCCTTTCACAAAGCCACAAATTCATGGCACAAACCCCCACAACCATCAAAACTCGACTGCAACGCGTTTCCCTTGCCACATTCCCCGGTCACATGTACAACCCCCATGCAGCTTACTGCGCTGCGCACCCGCCGTTCCAGTCCAGACATGCTGTTATGGAATTCAGACCACCAGTGGAGGAGCTTTGCGTGGATGTCGAGTCGACGGAGGAACAAGCCATGTCCATGATCCGTTTTGTCAGATGGGAGGAAAGAGGCGGGGCTGGGGATCCTGCTCGTTGTTTCATCGTTCCACAAAGCTTCCGAAGCAGGCCAAAACGGTAAATCACGCGCGCAAGCAACTCTCTGCTAGCATTCTCCACTCCGCCTCCTTTCGAAGCAGAATATAAACCTTCCCATCCGTGCTCGAGTACGTCCCCATGGCGACACCTAGCGGCGTCGCGCCAGCGAGTCTCACGAAGACCCAACTGACGCTCTACGCGCCGCCCGACAGGCAGCACGAGCGCGTGCTGCGCCTGGGCCCTCCCGGCAGCAGCGGCAGCGGCGGCGGGAGCGGCGGCGGCGGCGGCGGGTCGACGGCGATCATACACGTGCAGGAGATCTGCGACCCGGACGAACAGGCTGAGGGGTCCATCGCGTCGCAGCGGGAGGAGTCGTACGGCCGCAGCAGCAGTCAAGGAGTTGGCGGCGGCGGAAGCAGCGGCTGGAGCGGCAGGGGTGTTGCGGGTCCGGGCAGCAGCGCGAGCACCAGCACCACGGGCGGCTGTGGCTGTCCGTATGCTGATAAAGACAACAGCAGCAGCGCGAGCGGTCGCGGCAGTGGCGCCAGCAGCGATAGCAACAGCAGGAACAAGAGAGGAGGAGTAGGAGCAGGAGGGGAGGAGGAGAAGCAGCGCAGCTTGGAGTACGAGGTGCGTACTGCAGAGCCGTCGCAGCTGTACCTGTACATGCCGCCCTCGCAGCAAGCCAGCCACGTGGCGGAGAGTAACGAGAGCCGCCGCCAGCAGGGCGCGCAGAGGGGCGTGGGTGGCAGGGGAGGGCAGACTGCGAGGCTGTGAGGGGTTGGGAGGGGCTGGGAGGAGCTGAGAGGGGCTGGGAGGGGCTGGGAGGGGCTGTGAGGGGGTGTGAGGGGTGTGAGGGGGTGTGAGGGGGTGTGAGGGGGTGTGAGGGGGTGTGAGGGGCTGGGAGGGCTGTTAGACTGGAGTGATGCCACCGGAGTTTCTGCAGGAGAGGTGGCAGGTTGACAGTGTTGGGGTGGGGTGTAAGGGCTGATGTGGGAGTGGCTCTAAGATGTTCACATTTCAGGGGCGGATGTCCACGCGAGGTTTAGGCAGCAAGGATTGGAGCTACAACTCAGAACGGATGTGTGCAGATGAGCATTGGTGTGTGAATGGATAGGATGGGCCATGCTGATGGTGCGAATGATGTTTCAGTTGTAGGTGGACTATTTGAATTACAGTAAGCCTGTTCATGGTGCATGTGGTTTGGTTGCCGACCAGGGCTGAACAGAAAGAATTTAGAGCTCCCTACATTAGAATAGCATAATAGTTGGTTTGCTTGAACGGGGGACCAGGAGATGGATAATATAACCCTTACATACATACTATAATACAATACCCTGTTTCCCTACATACGATACGAAAAAAATACTAGGAAGAATGGGATCATGGCAGATCAAATGCCATCATCCAAGCGAGCAAACACATCGCGGTGACCACCCACACCCGTGCTCTTGAAAACCGGAGCAGTCTGGGTGATTCTCCCCTGGCGACTTCTTGTGCCTCCATCCACCACATCCCCATGCTCTTTCGGGTACATGTCTGATCGTATAGGGCTCGAGTGCGGCCGGGAGTTCAAGGGTGGGAGAGAGTGGCCATGCGACGAGATGCGCCGAATACCGGTACCCTTGTCTGCAGCAAGAGAACTGTCCTTGTCCATTTGTGGGCTCGTCCCCATTAGCGAGCTCTCTGAACGCTGACGTTCCTCCAGCTCTCCATCTCCATGGTTGGAAAAGGATTGCCACGGATTAGTAGGCGATCTGCGCCTGAACGAATGTGCTCCATTGCTGTTGCTGCTCCTCGTGTTGCTTCTGCTGTGCCTGTTACTGCTGCTTTGGCCCCGACCAAACAGCCTCGCACCACCAACCTCATCCACATTCGTCCGAGATGAGCTCATATTCTCCAAAGATTGGCTCAAGCTCAAACTGGCCGCTGGCGGCGGGTTTGACTCCAAACCGGCCAGGGGTGAGTTTAAGCTGCCCACATTCGCCAGGGATGGCTTTGAACTCAAACTGCGCTGCATTGAAATCTGATTCGCCAGAGGCGGGCTTGAAGTGAACCTGCGCTGCAAGGAGCCGGAATGCAACAACGGAGACGACTGGCTGAAGCTGCGTCGATGCTTCTCTCCATGGATCCTCCCGCCATGACCCTTCCACTCCATGTGCTTGCTAGCCCTGTGCTGGTGCAGCGTGGCAGGTGGTGGAGCTTCACTCAACCGGCCGGTCGTCGAGGAGCGAGAGTAAAATCCACCTGGGGCGCCGTGTGCTGCTGTATCACTCTCATCAGGAGATTTCTCAGGTGATTCACCAGCACAACCGCAGCACCTAGCTCGACCAGCATCCGAGACAGCAGCACAAGCGCAATATCTCGTCTCCAATAAATCCGAAGTTGACCGCCGACAGTTTGACCGCCGACCAGCCAAAGCCAATCTGCCAACTGGCAAGCAAGCCCTCTCCTTCTCTGCCTCGTCTCCTCTGCGCGTCCCCTCCTCTGCGCGTCTGCCTGTTCTGCTGACCGCAACATGTCGACAAACTGCTGGCATCTCACAGCGTTGAGCTCGCGCTGGGACTCCAGCAGGCTCAGCTTGCTCTGAAGGCTAAGACGATCCAAATCTTCCGCTTTAATGCCACCGCTTCCTCCTCGCCCTCCCCCTCCGCCTCCCCCGCCTACTCCGCCGGCGCTGGCGCTGCTGATACTCCCCCCAAAGGACCACCTCCTCCTGTTGACTCTTCCCAGGAGCCGGGAAGAGGCCAGAGATGACGGGGGGTTGCGAGCAGTGGTGGTGAGATCACCACAGCGACTGTGTGAAGCTGGTGATTCGTTGAGTGCTGCCGCTGGGGGTCTGGCAGCAGATGCTCCGGAATTGGAATCGGAATCAGAATCAGACCCTGACTCAGAGTTTGATTCCTGAGTAGCAGCAGCCGCTTCCGTGAAGCTTGAAGCCGGATCACCAATCCAGTCAGACGAGGCATTGCTGCTGCTAGAAAGACGATAGAGCCACCTGTTGCCAGATTGACCCTTTCTTCTATTCCATGCTGTAAAGCCATTCTCTGCACCTGAAGTCCCGAGTTCCGATTCTGAAAGGTCCGACCCTGGAAGGTTCGAATTTGGACGGTCGGACCCAGTGGAGACCACGTTGAACATGTGAAAACTCATCGGTGATTGCTGAGACGGCGCCTGAAAGCTCTCATCGTGACATGCTGGCGTTGGGAGTCTACTCTCCATAGCCAGCATTTTCTTAATCACAGCTTACTTAATCGAAATTCTCGTCAGCTGACACTGGAATAGAAGTCAGGAAACCACCGCTTTCTCTTTGCAGGTTAGGATGTGTGTCTGGATTGAAGAGACCAACTCTCGAGGACTCCACTATCAGTCAGTGAAGTAATTCGAAATCGTATCACACGACTGCTGGTAGTTCGAATAACAGTGTAAGCCTTTTCAAGCCAACGTTTGAAAGTAAAAGCAGTAATCTGTGAAGCGCCGTCCTTGGTGAAGCCGGACGGTTGTGTGAAATAGGAGAGTCGAAGTGGGGTTTCTACGCAGTCGTTGGGAAAATAAGAACGGAATGGCCGTAATTAAGTGCGTTCAACCCTTGAAAAAGCAGCCACAGCCCTTCGATTTGATTCTTTCAGTGGTGTTGTCGAACTTTGACAAAGGAAAGCGCTTGGGTAAGGCGGCCAACACGGCAGGCCTAATAACATTACAGTATTCTCTTTCGCGCTAGTGGCTTCGGTTCTAAGGAACAGTTGAAGAAGCTCATCGCACCCAAAATAGGGTACTATCATCACGCACCCTAAGCTCGTCACTTTTCGACAGAATGCGGCTAAATGTAAGTTATGGTAGGGTTTTCAGCGAAAACGAATATTTGGGACACGCTCTCAGACGCACATAAGCGACGTCAGAAATTATACACGGAACGAATTACCCAAGTGCAACCAGGCACTCCAGATGCTCTTTAGAACTTCTCGCGGCCTTTGACAGGCCTTTCCCGACGGCGCGCTCCTGAGGAGCGCGCCGCCGCTTCATCGGGAATATCCTGAAACTTCAGTCGAAGCATCAATGGTTGAACGTTTGCACGTGAGGAACGGATAATTGTGTTGTCTGTCTGGTCAAGAACCATAACTTAGGGTGGTTGACTACGACAGAATAAAGGCTGAACTGTGTAATAAATTCAGCTGTAAACTGAAATAGCCAGTCCACACTGTTCGGAGCCATAGTCCACGCAACCTCCAGAAAACCGTGGAACGAGCTGAACACGAGGGCAACCGCACGGTGGAGGAAGTGACAACAGCAGGTGAAGGACGGATGGAATGGAAGTTAACAACCACAGATTGGTCATCTCAGCAAGGAGACTGGACTGGAGGAGTGAGGGATTTTGGCTTCATTGCATAGCTATCCTTGCTCCTACGAAATGCACTTGGACCCAGAACGACCTGATTCAAATATAAACCTTTGGGGCGTTTCGGAGCGTTTTGTTTAATGATTAGAACGTTGAAGTACGGTTCTAAAGAAATACTCGTCTTGTCACAGGCATGACCTTCTCGTCGTCCTTGCACGGAAAGGGTGATGTGGGAGAGGCACTGGGCTGGAGGGGGGATGAACTTGATGCAGGGACGAGGCGTGGACAATGCACTGACTTCTGGTAAATGGCAGTGCGCTTTGGTACGGTTAGGTCTGGCGCGACTCCGCCGCCTCCCCCAGCAGTGCCAAGCCAAGTGCAGGCACCTGCCTGACCAGTATGGTTGGGCAGACTGTACGTGTACACCCTCTTTCGCGCTACACTAGCAATGAGATTCACAGGCTACAGTGTGTACTGTTGCTTGGAACGTAGCGGTCTCGTGCTTACAGCCGAACTGCTTGTGGTGACGGGCAAATGCACTCCTGGTGAACGGTACACAACGGTTTTCAGAAAACAACTTGCTTTTGGGTACGGTTGAGTGCGGGCAAACGTGCTTATATCGTATGTGCATGGACCATCCTGGACGCATTGATGTGTGTACATATGATCAGTTAGTATAGCCAATGACAGTGTAGCGCGAAACAGGGTGTACCTTGTAGACACAGCCAAGCCAACCGCTCGATATCGTGAGTCGTGACTGGTCGTAAATACTATACAGTACACCCGTGCAAGGAAATCAATGCACATTGCCCACCAACCAATCAACCTACAGTTCTGTGCACTCGACTGTCCTTCCTCTGAACAGAAAGGGAATGATGATTGACTGCTGTCGAACAAGGTGGGTGGGAGCAGCATGAATCCATGTTAAAGCCGCGGTGCAACTATCTTAGGAACAGTGACAAGCCGGGTTTTGTCTTGTTCCGTACTGGTAGTCAATTGGCTAGCGAGTGTGTAAGTTGTGTTGCGATGAAAACATCCAAGGCGAATGTCGCGAACCTCGAAAGGAAAAGTGGGGGGGAAGGGGTGGGGGGAAGGGAAGGGGGGAACACACACGAAACGGGAAATGGGACCACATCAACACCCCCATACTCCCTTTCGCTGATTGTTCTGCCAATAACACCTCCACATTGCAAAACGATAAACCTTATGTTTCATAAAAACTTTGCAAAATACATATTTCACTTACAAGGTTTATTTTGGTTTATTTATCCATCCATTTGCAAGAGTATTATTTCTAATGGGGAGAAAGAACATCAACTGTACAGACCTGCAAGACTTGGAATGTCATATTGAACTGGAGCCCTAATATCTGCACCGCGGCTTTAAAGGCGGGGTGCAACTTCTTAGGAACAGTTGCAGGACAAATATGGAGTGTGCGTAACGGGACCCTTATTGGACGAAAAATTTGGAATCTCGCACAAGACAAACCTCTCGCCACTGAACTGCGTGGGACTACCAAGTTTCAAGCTATAATACCCTGAAGTTGAAGCTGATAGTTGGCCCACGGCTTTAAAGGGGAACTCACACTGAAACCGATGGCTGGGTGCACCTGGACATTATTGTAGAT